ATAATTGCAAATATGCTATTATATTTGATGGTAGATAATGCAGTATGATATTAGAAAATGAAATCTCTTCATCAAGTAAATGTATTGTAGCATTATCAAGTAAAAGAAGAATGTTTTGTCATAATTTTCATATATCTTGATTAAGTTTCATAAGCCAATATAAAAAGATTGTTAATTATATTCAAGTGCTTGAATTTCAGTAATAATATATTAACAAGTTATTTTTGTTAATATTCTGAAAATACCAAGGATTTTTGTATTTATGAATAAAAAGAGATATAAGCTTTGATATATCCGTTACATTACATATAAGTAAAACTATAACACGATCTTTTAGTTTTTTTATGTCTGAGATTGGATGACAAAAAAGAGTTTTTGAAGATTTCAATTTTCAATAAAGATCTATTTCATCATAATTATATATATTATCAAGATTCCAGGCAGAAATAAGATCTTAAAGATCATTATGATATTGTGAAAGATCTTCTAAAGATGCCAAATTTGTCTCACTATAATGAATTACTCATGAACATTGTAACACTTTTTAAATTTTTCAAACCAGCTATTAGAACTCTTGAAATTCAGGATATCAAAAGCTTTTGCAAAAGTCTTAGCTTTTTCAATAATTATATATCTAAACAAGATATAATTTACGCTAGTTGCCTGATCAATCTAAAGTGTTAATGCTTGCTCAATATTTAGATATTTTGCTATTCTTTCTCAGTACAAATTTTTATATAACTGTTTGGCTGAAGAGATAAGTAATGTTCTTTTTTTTAGAATATCAGAAATAGTTGATTCACCAATGTTGTACTTGAGAGCTAGCTTGACATTTTTTATATTCAGATTTGTAGCTTTTTCTTTACTTATTTCAATATTTTGCTTAAGCAAAATGACCTATGTTTTCTTCTAAAAATAACTGTTTCTTGACTGGAGACTGATGTTTTTTGGCACTTGTGAGTACTATATAATGCAACATTATCTTCTTTCTCATGAGACATAGTAGTTTCTGAATTTTCATTATCATTCTTCTTCTCGTTCATACTTTACATCAATAATTATCAAAAAGCATAAAAAAATTTGAGCGGAGATGAAATTGATTAGTTCAAATTTTATTACATCATTTTCTTCGGATTATCAAGGGAAAATAAATATAGCCATTATAGAAAAATCTTTGGTTATCGGTTTAACATGTATTTAATATATATCTTTAGTTTAATGAAGTATTTTAGATAGAATTGATTGTGTCAATTAAAAAAAGTTCGGTTTAGCAAGGTATTCGGTTTAACGGGGTCCGGTTTAATGAGGTTGCCTTTGTATTAGGTTCTAGCGATCTGATTGGTAAAATATTTAAGAGTGATATTGGATCAAGTCGATAAATCACATGATCTGCAAAAGTATCGAGACTCAGATGAGCTGAATAGATTTCTCAGATGTTTCATTCCATACCGATTTTAGTGATTACAGTTTGAGTCATTGAAGTAAGGCTGCATAGCTTGAGATAATTACTTTTCTTAATAAAAATACTGTATGTGAATGTTTATTAAGAACGGTGAGAATTAAAAGTTTTTATATAATTTCTAAAAGATATATTTGAAAAAATGATCTAAAGAATACTATTATATGTGGGTGGGTATACATATTGTACACGTGATATATTGTGTTATAGCCAACTAACTCTTTAGGAACTCTCGATACACTGATAATGCCAGTTCCAAAGTATTCCTTAATAAAAGTACGACCATAGTTATTCTTCCTATAGATGTACTTCTCTAGATGCATACACTAACGTAAGTTAATGTAATTAGGAATTGCATTAAAGATATATCTACAATGATTGAATTTTACCAGTGAGGATAATATTGTATGATATACTGATATTTTTATATTTATATATAATATGCAGCGGAACAAGAAACAATATGTCAAACTCCCTCCCCTCGATACCCCTTGTCCCGGCATCTGACAAATTGAGATTAATTGCTAGAGATTTTCAGTACCCGATCCTGATAAATACGGGAAGAAATAAAGACGTTAAGTATGTTAAGTGTAGAGTTGTATAATAAATATAAGTTCCTAATGGACAGTTACATGTACATGTACATGGTTGTACGAGTTATACGGTACATATGCATGTAATTTAATTTCCTAAATCAAGATATAAGAGTTGTATGATAATTTAGTTTCCTAAACACGTAACAGTTGTGCGAATTGTATGATAATTCAATTTCCTAATTACAGTATAAATTGTGTGATAATTCAATTTCTCAAATCGTAATTGTATGAATTGTATGAGAATTTCCCAAATTACAATTATATGGTAATGTCCTAACCAAGAGTTATCATATACATATCTATTTCAATAACGAGAGCTAATAACGATAAGGGTTTTGACCACCTTTAATGGAGGTACTAACACTAAGACTAATATAAAAGAGACTCCTCATAAGCAATTCACAATATCAAACAAAGCCAAAATCCCTATCATTAAAAGCTAGTTGAAAGCAAAATGAATTACCACTCTATTCTTATCTTTCTGAGTGCCGGCTTAACTTTCGCAATTTATGTTCATGCGTGTATAGGTAAAGATCATGTACATCCAATTAATAAATTCTTTCTTATTAATGTCATTTTCATTTCTTAGACGTAACTTTCCAAAGTGGCGGCTATACACATCGGGCTGATTTTGAAGATGGATGTCATAATTTTGGAGAGCCCGTAAAGATAATTGAGATTATGGCCGGTCCGTCTGATTGTTACAACCTTTATACAACACCGAACTGCGCAGAAAATCTAATTTTAAGTGGTTGTGGTGGTAGTAATTCTTTTCCTGGTGTAACATGCACATCGATTTTAGTAAAATGCGGATATAACAATAAAAATTAAAGGTACAATCACAATTTCCTTAACCTAATAAATTGAAAACTTTTATCATTTCAGCTACATAGAATCTCGCCTCACGAAGTGAGACAAAACACACGATCATTACTACACATGTTATTATCACAATGTTCGCATAAAGTAAATAAAAAAACGTAGAAAATTAAAATGTAGCAATCCATATATCCATGAAACTGGTTGGCAAATAATCTGAAAAATCGATGGTTAGGTTGAATCCAAGTGTCAAAAAATGACGATAGTCCAAATGATAAGTGAACTTAATAATAATATTGTTTGATATTTTATATACTTTTGACATATTATTCTTGGATTTTTGACATATTTGGACTGTTTCCAAGAAATTTGTTTGGACGTCAACCCTGGATACCAAAATGCTTACAATGAATTTAAATAAAAACATTAATCAAGAAATATCTGCTTCTTAAAATTTTTCAAATATTAAAAGACATAAAGATAAAATTCCGGAACTTAATGATTATTTTTAAACTTCACGCTTAAGAAAGAAAGGTTTCATTTGAAAATTCTTTAGATTAAAAATGTAACTCAATACAGAACCCTCATAAGAAGGAATAAATAATGAAGATAATTGCTTCTAAAATGTACGTTACGTATGATAAAGATGTTAGACAAAGAGACCTTCATGGCTGATTCTTCTTTAGCAGGGTTTCATTCTTTTTCTTTTCATCCAATTGTTGCAAATTGGAAATTGAGCCAGATGATATGCATAATTCGGCTAATATTATGGCATAATCACAGAAAAAGTCGAATATATAAACTTCATGAAGAATCATGTAGCATAATTGTAGTTATGTATTTTTTCGCAACAGCCTTTTTTAAGGGAAGGTTATTTATTTATATGATAAAAGTTGTGCCAATATTGCTTTGTTAGAAATGGTACATCTATATATCAAAAAATAATAAACTGTCATTTTGTACTCTATTAGTAATTGTAGGCATGACAAGGTTTGAGAGTTAGACTGAATGATTTACGAAAGTGGGTTTCTAAGAATCGCTTAATGCCAATCTTCATGGAGATTGCGCAATAAAAGAGCAATTTGCTTAAAGGGGCAAAGGTAAAGTATGAATTAACATATTTAATTCAATTTGCAGTTGATAATAGAAAAATAGCTGTAGTATCTGCTTATCTTAAAGGTTTAGTATCAACGTGATGGACTACTAATCAAGCATTAGGTGCTCAAGTTAATAATAGAATAAATAAATACCACACTAGCTCAATATTTTGATTATTTACTAATTCTATTAATCGATTAATATACTTGCTGTTAGTATTTTTACTTACAAATATGAATTCAATTCAATTAACAAAATAATTGTGCTAATCTCCAAATAACAATTATTTCAAATCGCAAAATAGTTGTTATGCTGAAATAACGAAATGAAATAAATAACGATCTCCAAAAAAATATAGAATCAAACATTATTCATCAACTTTGTATGAGTAAAGCCTTCGATTTGTTAAGCACAAAAAAGAATTAAAACCATCAATTTTGAAAAAATAAAAGCTAAAGTAGTTAGTTAGGTAAGAGTTAAAAATAATTTTATTTATTTTTCTTCAAACTACACTGTGACTTGTCTCTCTGGCTCGCGAGAACTGACTTTTATATACAATTTGGCTGCTAACTAACTATCTAATTTACAGATCTCGACTATTACAAGAATTCGCGGGTCCTAATCGTACAAAGTATGAATTTTATAAGAATTTTGGTAAAAGGAACATGGCTATGTTTCGCAACAAAGAACAATAAAGTTAATTATCAACACAAAACATAACTAATTGTAATTATTATTAAAGAATAAAGTAAAACTATTACGTGCAATGCAAAATGTGGATTTGATAGAAATTTTTGAAATAATGTCTATGGATCAAGTGAATAACGCGCGATACGAATGTTTAGGAATTTCTATTGATAATCACATTCTTTGGAACGCAAAGTAAGAATTTTCACAAAGCGACATCAATCTTGATAACAATTAAGGACACAAGTAATATTTAAGATCGTCTTGCATCGAATGTTTAACTTATAATAGTCTAAATTTATTGTGCTTAGCGACGAGTTCGTTTTTAGATTCGTTGACGTCTATTTTGTTGACAATTTTGATGATTTCATCATTTTCAGTGTCGATTCGTATACGAGTGGAACATTCTCTCCGAGGATTTCGTTTTGCTGAGCGTCGAGTTGCTTAGGCACATTCATCAAGTCGAAATCTGTAAAAAATAACCGGTCCCATATACTATGGAATTAATCTCTTCAGGGATTCATTTCGTTGGGTGACGACTTGATTCTCATTGGATACAAGAGGACGAATTTCTTCAAAAAATACATATCGTTGATAATTGTTCAAAGAGCCACTTTCAATAACCTCTTGAGGGTTTTCGTTTTGTTGGGCGGCGAGTTGATTCTCATCGATACTTGTCTCGGTATACAAGAGGGTGAATTTCTTCAGGAGCTAGGTATTTTTGATAAAAATTCAAAGAGCCACTTTCATTAACCTCTTGAGGGATTTCGTTTTGTTGAACGACGAGTTGTTTCTCATTGATGCTTGACTCGTATACAAGAGCATTAATCAAGGAGTCATTTTCAACTGTCATTTGACATTGATTGCTACTGATATTGCCATTAACAACTATGTTGTTTTGAGCCAACTTAGCTTCTTTAACTCGTTTGTCAAATTTCTCTTTAACTCGTTTGGCATATTCAAAATATTCATTTTTCTTACTTGAATCCATTTCTTCCCATTCTTGACCCAACATTTTAGAAATGTCCGGCTGGGGTAGTTTTCGATTTTCCAGAATTTCCTGGCCACGACGTATTCGATAAATAATAAATGCATTAGGTGACTTAGTCGGCTCTTTTCCTTTACGAGTCCTAGGTTTTAGAAATTCTTCTATGGGAACTTTTGATAAAGGAACGAATGCTTTACACATGAGGATTAATCAATAAAGTTGAATTCTTTAGAATTTATAAAAGCTTTTTAAAAATTCAAAGATATTGTTTGAGTTATTAAGGTTCCGTTTAAATAGAAAAGATTTATATTGTATATTGTATGTTACACTATAAAGAATTTCAATTAATGTGATCCGGTTTTGGACCGTTTATACTCCGAAAACACTCCGATTTTCATTATTTGATTCTGTTCCAAAATTGATCATTTTTCGGAATGATACTTCCGAAAATTCTCAAATTAGTAGATTTTATTAACAGAAACGGAATTCTATCAGGTACTTTTCAAATACAATCACACCTCTCTATAAGAACATGCTGTATAAGAACAGGATTTGAGAACCAATAATTAATATGTATATTAAAAATTACCTCTATATAATAACAAACTCTACAAGAACCGGATTTTCTGACCCGACTGCGTAAAGAGGTGCGACTGTATGTTTGTAGAATACTATTCGAAAAAATTCCAATTAGATTAAGTAAATTTTATCCATATAAACGGAATATTATCAGGTAAATCAATACTTTACATTTATATTCTGAAGCATATATTGGGCAAAAAATTAATAGTTTATAAATAAATACTATCGATATTTACTTTTATTAGAACTTTTTGCAACAGAAAAAGTCTATTTAATCATCTTGTTGTGAACTTAATAAACAATTCTATAGTTCTTAATACTTCAAAGACATTTGTTGACATTTTTGAATAAAAATAATTTTCAATTTTAACTCATTCGCATTATTAAATTTTAAAATATAAAATGGATTATATTCTACCAAATATCTCTTTTGTACCATCTAAATCCCGTTTCTTTCAGCTAAAGATTATTTTAAAAACAAAAGAGATAGCGGCTAAAGAGCCAAACAGGTTCCTTTAGGGTGTGCGATGTAAATAGAATCACATAGTCCACTTACATACATAATGTAGATCATTAATAAGGATTTTTGGTAGTACAATTTTGTATCGAAAAAAAAGGTCTGTTATAAATAAGTATTAGGAACTATTTTTAACATTATAATATGATAGACAAATTGTTTATCTATATACTAATAACGAGACTTTCTATATTTGTGAGAATAAAATAGTATATAAATTTGTAGTAAATAAAAAAATTTTGATTTTAAAATAGAAAATTAACAACAATAATATTAATACAATAAAAAAGTCGCGTTATTATTAAAAATACGCGTTCTATTATATTCAAAACAACAATTTTTTGTAAAAAAACCAATTTTGAATAAGCTTATAACTTTTAAAGTTTCAAGATGCCTCCACGAACAAAACAAAATTTACATCTTGTAAAGGCCCATACAGCAAGAAAATTTATAAGAAACCTCCTTCAATCCCCCCCCCCCTCAAAAAACGACAGATGTTAGTTGCTAAAGTTGAAAACTTGCCTGAAAAAGAGGTTCCTCGAGCACTTTCTCTTATGAATACAATGATATATACAAAAAGAAACTCTACCGGCGAAATTATAGATTCATAATGTCGGTTGAATTCTGAATATGAAAAGCCTAGAAGAAGATATCAAAGGAGAAAATTTAGATTATCTGAGGCTTTAAAAGATGAAGTTTTTTACAATGAATTTTACAATTTTGCAACCTCACCTTCTATCCAACCTTTTTGGTTATATCCTCTTATTTATAATTTCATCAAATATCGAATTTGGACTATTGTTGTTCACCAGCAACAACTAGAAAGAATTTTTTAATCGTTATGGATTTTGAACTTCAAGAAGCTCGGATGATTTTGTCAACACCTAGTGCTAACTCTTTTGATATTACAAGAGAAGATATTCATACAATATTGCAAGATAAAATGAAAAAAAATTAGAAAAGGAAGCAGAAAATGATAGAATCGGAAACGCCAACGCCATCCATTTTCAAATCATTTGTAAGCTATCAAAAATGTTAACTTCTTTTAGTTATTATAAAAAAAATCAAATTCCCGGTGATTGATTTCACATTATAAAGTCCTCAATTGTGATCTACATTATGTAACGTGGACTATGTGATTTTATTTACATCGTACACCCTAAAGCTCCTTGCATGTATTGCGGCAGAATTAAATGCTCGAAAGTTTAAGATTGGAGACACCTCTGAAATATTTCGCTTTGCTAGTTAACATTGGGAAATGCTGTCTGAACAACATAAAAAAGCCTACAAAAAAATTTCATTAGAAGTGAAACAGTTATATTTGATTCGAATTTCTAGTACTCAGTCCAAAGAATATAATCAAAACATGTCTAACCCTCAAGGGTATTATCAAGAAATGTTTAACTTTCAAGGATATCATTGAGACGAGTCCTATCATGATATTATTGATTTAACCAATCCTTTTACAGAGCATAATGAAATAGAACTGAAAAATAGCAGTAATTTTATATTACATTCTAGGTATTTATTAATACGTATATATTTACATTTTTCAATATGATACGATTAAGTTTATTTCGAAACTCTCATGGGCGTTATTTTGAAAGCATGTATGCTATTTTTAAAGGGTACGATTTTTAAAATAACATCCATGGAATTTGATTTAAGAATTATATTGAACTTTACGATTGGCTAAATTGTACACAGTATATTTATAAGCTTTGTACTGTATGAATTTTGTTACCTGAATTACATATGAAGAAATTTAATAAAAATGAATAATTATAAACTCTGATAAAAATTATGAAAAAGAAAATAAACTGATAAAATGATTATTTAACTTAATTTATTATTATTTTACGGTTTAGCTTGTCAAACCACCAAAACTGAGGACTAGATATGACACAAAACTTAGTCGAATTATTTAATACGTGACGTTACAACTCCTCGTGGAAACTGGCTCTACTTCATTTGCGAAACAGCATAAATACAGGACAAAAATCTGTGCAAAGTAATGCTCAAAATGCCACTACGAAAGTTTTAATGGTGCTCAAAACATGGATACATCTATGTGCCCAGTAAATATGTGATTATCAATACCCCATTTGGGAATCTATTAATTAAAGCAAAGTATTGTCCCGGTTAATAATTTATAAGGTCAGGGTAAGGGTAAAGGAGGCTTAGGAAACAAGGCTGTAAGTAAAATTGTCTTCCGAACATTTTTAATTAGAATTCCAAGACAGATTTAGACACTGGTTTTCTCGAAATCTTCGGGCTGATTAAAAATTTGTGCATTCTTATTGGTGATCGACAAATTTTTGCTCATCCCTATTGGATGGATTACATGAAGGTTACATATTTCCTAATTGGGCGGGAGGTACATAGATGCACCCCTCGAAACATCCGCCTTCGTTATCTCAATCTTATCAGCCTTCACAAGAACCAGCACTTGCTGGCGTTGGGTTCTAACCCCTGGGACTCTAACCGTTTTGTAGTATTTAAATTCTCGCAAATTTGCATATAAATATAAGGTTCGATCTATAATGAAGATAAAATTACTATTTAATGATTATTAAATCTTTTATAAGTTTTAGCTGAATATGGAGCAAGATTTACGAAACTCAGAATACTAAAATAATCTTGTCATAAAGATTATGCCTAAGTAATTTCTTAATGATATTTCCTGAAGGGACGCGTTGCTGGAACAACGCGAGTTAATTCATTATTAATAATTAAATATTGTGAATAAAATTCTGTATAAACTTTTGGGAAATTAATAACTTATTTCTAAAAATATTTGTGATTTCTTATAATTAAATAGTTCATTATTCCGTACCGTTACACGTTTTCTAAAAAAAGTTTGCTTGTAAATTTAAAAAGTCTACACAATAGACATTTTCAAATCATTGTATGAGTGATTATTGTTTTCGATGAACTATCGATTTATAAGAAGACATGAGGAGGAATGCAATTTTTTATTTTGTTTCGCTAGAATATGGCCTTCAACCGAGCAGCTACTAATTAAAAACTTAGCTCTAACCATCTACTAATTTTTGAGTGAAATTTAAATTATTTTTATTACCGTATTTGGCATATAAGTGCACCCCTGGAGAATTCAAACCTCAAGGTTCATTAATTAATATAAAATTTTTGAGAAAATTTTATTGTAAATCTTAATTTAATCATATTGCAGAATCATAACTGATTTAACATTAATGAAAAATTGAACTAAACTCAGGTTTAAGAGGATAACTTTATATATTAAATACAACATTTAATATCTCATTTCGAAACTCCAAAAACTTTCAAATTGATATTTGTGTTTCAACATGAGATGAATCATCCTGCAAACCAGTAGATTCGCTGAGAATAAATTTTCTTCTTTTTTGTTTAACAAATTACATAAGAAAGTTTAATGAAATATATAAAATGTAATCATATGTTAGAAATGCTAAGTTAACAATATTTGTAATAGAAACGGAAAATAGCTTATAAAATAGGTTACGGATATTTGAGCACTTTACCTAGATGGAGCAAATCTATAATATCTGAATTATGCCAATTTGCATATAAATCCCGATAGAACGGAATGGTTTCTAAATCAAGCCCATGATTGAGTTTAAATTTAATCTGACATAAAAATATTAATAATCCATAGTTTAAGCTGCCTTAATACAAAATTATTAAATTGGAATTGTTCTTATTAATTAACTTCCTCATTCTTTAACAGTTCTTTCCTAGAAGTAAGAACTTGAAGATTCAAAGTGAACCATACAGAAAAGTGCAGTCTTGGTAGATGAACTAGTAGGAGTCAAATGAGTAATAGTAGATAAATGAATAACAGTAGATAAACAATTAACATGAGTTTCTCTATACACATCTTTTAATGATCTATCTGATCTCTATAACCTATCATAGAATATTTGATTATAATAAATATTAATATGACTTATAACCAAAAAATTATATGATTATATGACCAAGATCATATATAAAAAATATTATAACTTAGATTATTATCCAATACTGATATAATAAGTATTAGTTTATGCAAATAACTTTTGAACAATATTTATATAAATAGAATTGATTAAGTATACAATTAATTTCATAAGTAACTGATCTTATAACTTTCTAAAAATCATGTGTAATGTTATAAAATTTTCTGAATATAAAGAATATTACAAATACTAATTATGATATCTTTTATAGATTGATATATAATCTACATATATTATAGATTATCAATAAACTCTATGTTAAAAAATATCTCTTTCTTTATATAAGCATTATAAAATTATTTTTTTATATACTTATTCTGAAGATTCAAAACTTGAACTCCAAGTGATAGTAAAGTATATTGATTATACTAAAAATATAGTAAGTAATGTGCTCAAAAAGTGAAATAAAATAAAGGATCTAAATAATGTATCAAAATTGGAGTGAAAATAAATTACAATTCTAAAATAAGATAAAAAAATTAAAGAGCTTGCAAAAAAATATCATAACTATTCTTGAAATATAATAAAAAATAATATTAATATAAGTATACTTATAATTTGGTAATATTTACATGAAGCTGGAGTCAAATATATGAATTAACTTTTCAAACTCTTATTTACCAATAAATATAAAAAATTCTAACTACAATAAGTGAAAAATTATAAAAATTTTAATTAAAATTAAGTAATTTTTTCAGATGAAAGTACCTTTCAACTAAATTAATAAGAAAAAAAGATGTAAATGTTTTCTAGTAAAAGAAAAGTATTTTATTTTATAAAGTATCTATTAAAAGTCTATATATAAAGATGTTTTTTAACTTTAGACTTTGAAAAGTTAGTTTATTCTTAAAGGAATCTAAATGCTAATTTTATAGTTACATTTTATAAGAAGAGTCTTCTGTCTTCTATTGAAATACTTTTTGATAAGAATTATATAGATTTTACAGAAGAATAATAATCCTAAATACTATTCAAAACTTGTAAATAAATGAAAAAAGAAAAATGATATACAAGTTCTTTTCTGACTATTGATATTATTTAATCAAAATTCAATTAAAAATATCTGAAGATTATGAAAATAAATATTAAAAAAAATTAGAACTCTTAAGAATTTAAAGAGTAAATTAATCAGAAAATAAAATTATTTACTTAATAATTTAGTAATAAAATTAGTTAATAGTATGATAAATTATGTAATAATATTAATTAAATCTTATAGTAATTATATTCTGTATTAGTAATTAGGATTAATCATATATTTTTAAATAAAAAAAGATTTTTTTTACTTTATTATATTATATAATGAGAAAATAGAGATCAGTTACTTATGAAATTAATTATATATATTTTATTCATATAAGTTATATGATTAAAATAAGTTATAAATAAGTATTTTAAATATTATTAATGATATTTTATATTAATTAATAACTCAAAATATTTATTATATAAAATTTTTTACTTTAAATATTAAATAAAAAATATTTAATAAAAATCTGAGAAAAATACTATATGCTAAATTTTTTACAGAAAAGTTAGATATTAATTATCAAATTCAATATATATATATATCTATTATTAATTAATTATTATAATATATATAATATCAACTTATTAGCTTTATTCTCATCATATAAATTTTTAGATATATTAATAAATTAACTTGATTATCTTCAAATATAAATATTAAAATATTAATTAACTTATAAATTCACTATATTAAAAGAATCTAATATATATTAACTAGAATTTATTATATAAGTATAATAATTAATATTTTTTTGCTTTTATAATAATTCTTATTAGAATAAGTATTACTAATTATAAGTTTATTAAAATAGTATTTAATTAATAATAATTATAATATAATTATAAATTTTTTAATTTATTTTATTATATATAGTGATATTCAAAAGTAATATATTACTAGGATGAAAAAATAAATTGTGAAATTTTTAGCAATATAGATATTATAGGCAAATAAAACTTAGTCTATATATAGTTAAAAGCATAAATAAATAATAATATAATTTAAAGAATAAATATAATATCACTTTATTTAACTTGGACTTTATTATGTCAAACTGATAATATATTTCTTTTAATTATTTTTCTCTTAAAACAAATATATAAATAGATAAAAAATACATAACAAAACAAAATATATCTTCTATAAATAAAATATACTTATAAATTTACTATTTTATTTCATATAATTAAAATTATTATAATACATATTTCTATCAAAAAAAATTTCAAATTTATACTCTTCTTAAAGAAGGATATTTTTCCTAATATATTACAAATTGTGAAAATATTTCCCAATTTTCTATTATAAGAATAAAGTAAAAAAAAGATACTTATAATACCTTTAAAAATTTATTAAAATCAGATTATTCTAGAATTTTTACTAGATATGATAAACAAAATATTATACATCTAATTTTGAATTATAATTTTTCTCTTGCAATATCTATTCAAAAAAATTAAAAACTGATAATAAAATTGATATCAGTACAAGTATAATAAAGTGAATATTATATTATAATAATCTTTCTTTATGAATTGAGTGAAAAAAATCATATCTCAAAAAAATATCATTATTAGACTATTAATAATTAGAGCAAAGTTATTTGATTAGATAAATTAAAATTTATAATTTTTAATTCAGATAGATATGAATATTACTGAAAATATAATGATAAATCTTTGAAAGAATATTATATAAAATTTATAGTCAAATTTGAAATTGCTTTGAATTTTTTAATATTGATAATATTATATATATTTATTATTATATAGATAAGAATTTATATTATAAAATCTTAAATAATAATCTTTTAGGAATAATTTAGTAATATGAAATTAATAAAAATAATATTATTTTTCAATAAAATAATAATCCAAAATATATAGCAAAATCTATATATAAATATTTTTTTGATAATGATATTTATTTGCTTAATTGGTCTGTCTAATTATCTGATCTTAATCTAATTAAGCATTTCTGAATTATTATTTGAGAATATCATTAATTAATATTCATACTCAAGATTAATTCTGAAGATATGATACAAAAAATTCGAATTAAAATTAATAATATATTTTAAATAAAACTAACTGAAAATATAAAGAAATATATTTAAGATATAATTAATATAAAGAGTAATTATACTAGGTAATAATTAAAATTAAAGATTAAATTTTCATAAATTTATTTAGTTTATTTGTAATTTTGATTTTATTTTATTTATCAAAATAATCAAAAGAAATGAATTGCTTGATTTGATATAAAATATAATTTATTTTTTTTAAATATATAATATAAAAAATAAATATAATATAATATTTTATTTATATATAGATATTATAATGAGTCTATTTATATATTGATCAATATTATATTTGAAATATTATTAAATTATAAAATTTATTATCTGAATAATATAATACTTTTAAGTACTACTATAATATAATAGTTAAATAATACTAAAATATCATTTTATTATATATAATTTTTATAAAATAAATTATTAAGTATATTATAAAATTATTATTATTTTTTTAAGAAATATTAATAATAATTAATATTTTTTAAATATTATATAATTATTATTATAATTTAAATAGAGAAATATTTATAAAATTTATATTATAATTTTAAAATTATAATAATTTTTTCTTTATAAAAAAAGTATTACTAAGTTAAAGTTATTTACTTATAATAATAATTTTAAGCTGATATAATATTTATATTCTTGAAAAATTAGCTTAAATAAATTTATAAAGTTAAGAACTAGAAGTAATATACTTAATATTACTATAAAAAAAGTATATTTAGATAAAATAATATATATAGTAATACTTATATTTATATAAAATATGAGTTATAATAGAAATAATTACTTAAATTATAATTTATTATTAAAATTCAAGAGAAAAACTATAATAATCTTGTCTTTTTATATTATATTATATAATTCTTTTATAATATATATATTTTTTTAAATATAAATTATAAGATAATATATTATTTATTATATATATATTAAAAAAGTTAATATATAACTATTTTCTAATATATATATAAATAAATATTTAATATAATATAAAAATAATAAATATTATAATTAAAAATAAATATAATTAGATAATATATAAGATAAAAAGATAATTAAATAAAATAAGAAATTATAATATAATATTCTTTTTATTATTATTAATATAAATTTAATCTTATATTATATTTTAATTATATTAAATATTAATACTTAATTAAATATTTTTAAAGAAAAAAAATAGTTAAAAATTTAATTATATAATTTTATTCTATATATAATATATAATTTAAAATAATTATAATATTATATAATATTTTGAATTTATTAAATTAAAGATATAAGATTTATATATATTATATTATTTTATTAAATCTTTCTTTCACAACTTATACTTTTAAAAAATATATTTTATTTTAATTATATTTTTAGTATTTATAAATATTAAAATATAAAAAAACTATCAAATATCTAATTATTATAAAATTATTAAAATATTATTAGTAAAAGTAATATAATTATAATTATTATTAAATATAAAATATATAACTTTTTTAAAATATATTTATTCAAAAATTGAAATAGCTCTTTTAATTACTTGTTTTATAATATTTTGATATATTTATTAATTATTTTAATTTATATTAAAATAAATAATGATATAAGTTTCTATATATAAATAATACTTATATTAAAAAACAAATTATTTACTACTTATTTTTTTTGATAAAAGATAAAAATATTCTATTAATTTATAAATAAAATTACTTATATAAGTATTAAGATTTTGTAACTTTTATTAGATTTTATTTTCATTAATA